CGGGCGCGCTCTTAAGTCCAAAATCACCTGATGAAGCTAACCGAACCATCAAAATTTAAATCCGAGGTAGTTTACACATAATTCAACATCTGGTCAACTTTTCCAAATTAAGTTTCAAATAAGAGACTAAGTGTCTCAATTCACTCTGAAATTTCACCGGATCCGAACCAACTAACCAGGTAAGTCATATAACAGTTGTAAAATACAAAAAGGAGAAATAAATGTAAAAAGATACTTATTTTGGACCAAAATAAAAAGATCAAAAAGTTACTTATTATGGACCGGAGAAAATACCAAATTAGAAATTAATAATACCAAATCTAATACATATATTATTTTTCCTAATATATCCTATCAAACGACGCCTTTAACTCATAAGAGTAGTATCAACTATCAAGTTGCATGGTCCCTTCATTTTCTTGTCAAATATTTGAAAACGACCAAGAACTTCAAGTATTCCATTTGCACTAATTATCAAATCATTGATATTGACATGCATACCCCTCCTAAATTCAAATCTTTCTGCAGACAGATTCACATATATCTATTTTTCTTTTCCCTTTGCATTTAGTAGCATTATCCCTGTTGTGGGGAAGCCCAATAGTTATCATCTATCTCCATCCCTCGATACGTTGCTACTTTAATTTCAATAAATGGTGCCGAGTGACCTTTTATGGGCCCATTACTTATTTTTTGGCCAGGTAAGATATCAGTTTATTAATCCTTGTATGTGATTTTTGCCTACGATGAATGACCGTTGTACCCTTAACTATATTTTAGGACTATACACTTCCAATTTTTTTTTCTTTGATTTTTTTTTTTTTTTTTTTTTTTTGTTTTTTTTTTTTTTTTTTTGGTTTTCTCTTCTTGATTCGCACCTAAGCTTTCTAGGATTCCAATCGGAGTCCATTTTTAAAAAAATCATATAGAGCATAAGTTGTGGTTTTAAAGTTTCATAGCTAAGTTTATGAATGAGTTATAGAGTATCTCATAACTTAGACACAATGAGGTAGCATAAATTATTCTCCATGGAGCATAAGTTGTGGCCTTAAATTTCATGAGCAATTTTGCCTATAAGACATGAGTTATAGAGTATCTCATAAGTTAGATACAGTGAGATATAGAGGCATATCTAGGTTAAGGGATATGGGTTCACGCGAACTAGGGGTGTTCATGGTTCTGTTTGGATCGGTTTTTCACTAAAAAGAAACCAAACCAAGCAAGTCGGGTTTTTAAATATTAGAACCAAACCAAACCAATTAAGTCGGTTTTTCTCGATCGGTTTATGTCAGTTTTTTCTTAAATATAAGACATACACTACCAAACACACATTCCGGGCGACCAAATTTTCAACGTAACACTATCAAATCAATTGCTCTTTGAGAAATCTATTATTTACCAAGATATATTGATGATAATTGAATCAAATAGTGATGAATAATTTAAGGACTCAATTGAAAATATATTATTTTTAACATGAAATAGATTCTTGCACTTAACAAAAGAAAACTACCAATTAAACTAGAATGTAAAGGTAAAGAACTGTACGAAAAGTGCAAACGATTAAGATTTACTATAAAAATTTTAAAACTTTGTATAAAAGTATACATATATATAGGTGTAATAATAAATTTAAAATAGCTACTCCTATATTCAGTTTGGTTCGGTTTTTTTTAATTAAAACCAAAATCAAACCAAATTTGATCGGTTTTTAAATTTTAAAATCAAAACCAAACCAAACCAAAAAGTATCGGTTTTTTTGGTCGGTTTGGTTCGGATTTTCGGATTTTTATGAACACCCCTTACGCGAACCCATGCTTCGCTCCCTAAACTATGTATAACAATGCTATATTTCTTCAAAATTGCTTATATATATATATATGTGTGTGTATGTGTGTGTGCGCGCGCGCCCACCCATACTCAAAGAGTACTCCTATGTTACAATTATTACTGGGTGCACCTCCACAAATAAAATTGGCAGTTCAAATTTCACTTCGGACGGTCTTATTTTTGGCACAGATATAGATACATATGTGAAATCACTAAAATTTTAAAAAGAATATAATTTTGAACCTACAATTTCAAAAATGTGGTGTGTTCATGGTAAGGGACTAAATGTAAATCCGTCAAATATAAAATCTAGATCCTCCTCTTCACAACAGTGCACACATCCTCTTGAAATCATGGATCCGCCTCTGGTGAGATAGCGTAAACTGTTTCCCATGAGGCATAAGTTGTGATTTTTTAGTCCATGGGCTAAGTTTTTCTTATAAGGTAAGAGTTATAGAGTATCTCATAAGTTAGACAAAATGAGGTAGCATAAAATGTTGTTCACGGGGAATAAGTTGTGGCTTCAAATTCTCTGATCTAAGTTTTGCCTATGAAACAGGAGTTATAGAATATCTCATAAGTTAGACACAACAAGGTAGTATAATGTGTTGCCCATTCAAAATAAGTTGTGGCTTCAACGTTCCTGAGTTATATTTTTCCTATGTGGCAGGAGTTACAGCCTATCTCATAAATTAGATGATGTGAGTTATTGTATAATATTGTCTTTGCGGCATAACTTTGTGGACCAACAATACTTGACGAACAGACAACAATGTTTTTCAATGTTCTCATGTTTTTACTAATAAATTTCAATTTAGCTTCCTCAATTCTTCACCAAATATACTAAGATTTTAACCATAGATTCCTAATCACAACCAGGGGCGGATTTAGGGGGGCAGAAGGTTGGTCATCCGAACACTCTTCGTCGAAAAATTACATTGTTTATATAGGGATAATTTTTTTTACGTATAGATATAATATGTTGAACCCCCTTGACACAAGCCAAAAGCTTGGCTTAGTAGTCAAGGGTCTTCAGATTGTGTAGAAGATCGTAAGTTCAATTCCCGTCAGCTGCGGAATCGCATTCTTTTCACGTCAGACGTTATTATTGTGTTGGAAAACAAATGATCAATATTGAATTATTGGAAAACAAATGGTAGCCATGCCAGAAGAAGAAGCTTATCCGAACCCCCTTGCGATTCTATTAACATGTCTAAGCTTATCTTTTTAATTGCTGGAGTTTAAAGAACTAGCTCAACCATTTTCTGCTTGTTAACAATCATTTACTTGTTAAAAGCAAGGAAATGAACATGATAAGCATTATTTCCCGATATTCATTTGTGTTTTGGGATTCTCAGATTAATAACTACGTACTTGTGTTCTATTCCTGGACTTGGACAACATTGTTTGTCACATGTTATGGTTTAAAATGAAGCTCGTGAATTTGGATATCCTAGCCTTTTGTTGAAGAATTATGAGAAAGTCTACACTAAACTAATTCTTCTTTAAGCTTAGTTCGATACAACATTCATATATCAATTTTTCTAACTATGTTCCTACTTTATAATTCAGTCTCAAAATTTAGTGAAGAGGTATTTTACAAAAGCACCAAAACCAAATTTGTCTTCTCATACTCAACCTATCCAGGAAGAGAATATCAACCATTTAGAAGTACCATCTTCGGATGAAGTCGATTTGGATTCTTTAAAGTTTGACCCGGGGGAAAGAACTCAAATCTTGGACTTCAATCCAAATCATCGCGATGTTATTAGAAGAGAATTCCTTCGACAAGGTCCTTGTCAACCTCGGCTTCATAACTTTCCTAAAACAATTTTTTCTGGATCAATTCGTTGATTTAATCCTAAATGGTTTGATGATGAATATCATGATTGGTTGGAGTACAGTGTAAATAAAGATGCAGCCTATTGTTTGTATTGTTATCTATTTAAAGATATAATATTCATCAAGGTGGAAGTGATGTATTTTCAAGTATAGAGTTTAAGAATTGGCATAAAAAGAAAAGTTTTGATAAACATAGGTCGAGTGGCATTCACAATGAGTCAAAAAGGAAATGCCAAGATTTGCGGCAAACAACGGTCTATTCAATCTTCATTTGAGAGGCAATTTAGTCAACTTATGCATGAGTATTGGATCCGCTTAACTGCTTCAGTTAATGTAGTAAGACTTCTTATAACTCATGGATTAGCATTTCGAGGTCATGATGAATCTAAGTCTTCACTTAGTAGGGGTAATTTTCTTCAAACTCTCTCATGGTATGCAAAAGTGTGTGATAACATTCGTGATTATGTACTGGAACATGCTCCTCAAAATGATCAAATGACTTCTCCAATGATTCAGAAAGACATTGTTACTGCATGTAAGATAGAAACAACTAAAGCTATAATTGAGGAACTAAATGGTGATTTCTTTGCCTTGTTAGTTGATGAATCTTTTGATACCTCCCTCAAGGAGCAAATGGCTATTGTCTTACAGTATGTTGATAGAATGTGACTTGTGATGGAGCGACTTATTGATGTTGTTCATGTCCAAAATACTAGTGTTTCATCTTTGAAGAGTGCAATTGTTAATTTACTTCCTCAACACTCCTTAAGTCTATCATATGTGCGTGGACAATGTTACGATGGGGCAAGCAATATGCAAGGTAAAATTAATGGTCTTAAAATGTTGATTAAGCAAGAAAGTAGATCGGCTCATTCCATTCATTGTTTTGCTCATCAACTCCAACTTACCCTTGTTGCGGTTTCTAAGAAATGTCTTCAAGTGGGGGAACTTGTAGTGTTGGTTTCAAATATTTTGAATATATTGGGATCTTCTTTTAAGCGTATGGATGAATTTCGAGAATCTCAAAAAGAAAGAATTCAAGAGGCATTAGATATGGGTGAGCTTACAACCGGTAGAGGCTTGAATCAAGAACTTGGTCTTTCAAGAGCATGTGATACTCGTTGGGGATCTCACTTTAAATCTTTTAATAATTTTATTCTGATGTTTGGCTCTATTCTTGATGTTCTTGGATTAGTTGTTCTTGATGCACGTTCTACAGATGAAAGAGCCAAGGCAATGAGATATCTCAGGGCTTGTAAAATATTTGAGGTTGCATTCATGTTACATTTGATGAGGGATATTTTAGCAATCACAAATGAGCTCAATAAATGCTTACAAAAAAAGAGCAAGACATTGCAAATGCCATGCTACTTGTTGAAGTAGCAAAGAAAATGTTGCAAAAGTTAAGGAAAGAAGAATGGAAATCTCTTATTGCTACGATATCTGCATTTTGTATCAAATATGATATTTTGATACCTCACTTTGATGAGCCATATGTTAGTTCTTTAAGTTCACGTCGTAAAACTGCTGATTGTTCAGTCATACATCATTATTGGGTTGATGTATTTTGCAAAATTATTGATTGGCAAATTCAAGAACTTAATGAATATTTTGACGAAGAGACAACTTATTTGCTTCATGGAATTGCTTGTTTGAATCCAATTAACTCATTTTCAAGTTTTGACATCAGGAAAATAATGAGAATGGCTGAGTTATATCCTGATGACTTTGATGAATTTAGTATGGGTACTCTTGAGAATCAACTTGCAATTTATATTATTGATGTTCGTTATGTTGATGAAAGATTCTCCGATCTACATGGGCTTTGTGGTCTTTCAAAAAAGATTAGTTCAGACAAAGAAGCATTCAAATTATCCTCTTGTATTTCGCTTAGTGAAACTTGCTTTGCTTCTGTCCGTTGCCACTGCATCTGTTGAAAGAGCTTTTTCGGCGATGAAGTTTATCAAGAATGACTTACGAAGTCGAATGAATGATGAGTTCTTTAGTGGTTTTTTGGTGCCTTATGTAGAAAAAAATGTGTTCGATAGTATTTCTAATGATACTATTATTAAAACATTTCAAGATATGAAACCTCGTCGAGTGTAGTTGTAATAATTTACTTAGTTGTTTTTGTTGATCTCATTAGTCATTAGGTCCTTGTGACTAACACAAGAATTGTTTTTTGTATTTTCTCTTTTGAAAGTCTTGTTACTATGATTTGTTTATCTTAACACTATCTTTGTGGTGAGAACTTCTCTTTCTATTGATGAAATATGTTAGCATCTTTTCTTCTTTTTTTTTGGTTTTGGTTGGTTAGCTTCATTGTGTATTTGATTTTTAAAATTTTTGAACCCCACTCGTAAATATTCTGCCTCCACCACTGATCACAACCACAGTACATTCTAACGGCAATTTTTGGATCAAATTTCAATAACTCATAAAACTCAATTGTCTATTCTTCAAAAGCTTCAGTTTCAAAAATGGTGAAATTTTATTTTTTAAAATAAAATTTGCTCAAATCAGTGTTAAAACAACAATCTAAATATCAAAAAATAACAGCTGCTGATATTCATTCACAAATGACTTCAATTTGTAGAACCCAAATTTTAAATCCTCCATCTTCGACATTCCTCTTATCCTTAGTTTTTGCCGACCCTCTGTCACGACCCGATCCCCGAACCCGGTCATGATGGCGCCTCTTGTGAAGACAAGGCCAGCCAGACCAAAACAGAACACCTCTTTTAAACAGTTAATCATCATAAACAGTAATAACATATAATATAATGCTCATAAATTGCGGAATTTAACGATAATAACAGTAGGAACCATCTCGACACAGCCCAAACCGGGGTATCACAAGTCATGAGCTACTATAGAATCTGCTATAGGTCTACAAGTACGAAATCCGATACAACAGTCTGAAGAAAACATAAACGATAGAGGATAAGAGAGACAAGGGGCTGCAGACGTCAACATCTACCTCGTAACTCCAAATCACTGCCTAGCCTGGAAGGAATCAGCGCTCAGGTGCGGACTCTACTATACCTGAATCTGCACACATGGTGCAGGGAGTAATGTGAGTACTCCGACTCAGTGAGTAATAATTACAAATAATGGCTGAAAGTATGAAAACATGTAAAGGCACAAAGCAATTCCATATCAAGCAGTACAATCACTTAAAGCAGTAAATCAGTGAAGAAATCAAATGATATTCCTTTTTGAAACAAGTAAAACAGGTAATTTCACAGGTAATTAACAAGTAGAAATCCGTCCCTCGGGCACAGTATCAATCGCCCAGCATAGTATCAGCACCTCGGGCTCACTCTCAGTACAGTATCAGCCCCTCGGGCTACCTCGCAATCACTCAGCATAATGGCCAGCCATTGTTACCTGACCAACTTTCATCAAACAGTGTCATTGTTACCACTGTTTCAAATCACAAGCATAATGGTCAGCCATTGTTACTTGACCAAATTGCATCAAACAGTGTCATTGTTACCACTGTTTCAAATCACAAGCATAATGGTCAGCCATTGTTACTTGACCAAATTGCATCAAATAGTATCATTGTTACCACTATTGCAAATCACATGGGTACCCGCGCTCACTGTGGGTGTGCAGACTCCGGAGGGGACCCTTACGGCCCAAGTGCTATATCAAGCCACCTCGTGGCATCATCACTCAACATATCCTCACATCACTAAAGCCACTGCATGGCATACATAGTATCTCAGGCCCTCGGCCTCATATCACTCAGCATATCCTCACATATGGCGCTCGGCCTCACTCAGTCCGGAAATCATCATAAGCCCCTTGGGCTTTAGTAAAACAGTAGTTCTCAGCCCAAAACATGATGTAGAAATATCATTTAAGTTTCAAATCTGAGTAAAAGTGACTGAGTTTGCAAAACAGTAGATATCAACAGGACTGAGTTCAAATAAAAAGTCAAGCAGTAAGGAAATAGTGATAAAAATCCCCGAAGGGTCCAAATAGTTGGCACGAAGCCCAAATATGGCAATCAGCCCAAATCATGATGGTAACAAATGAATTTCAGTCAAATATTCGGTAAAATCATCAATCGGGATGGACCAAGTCACACTCCCCAGTAGTGAAAACCCCACGCTCATCATCCAACGCGTATCTTGCCTCAATATAGCACTACGATGTGCAATCCGGGGTTTCAAACCCCCAAGACATCATTTACAACCATTACACACATCGAACTGGCTAATTCTCTAGCTCACGACGCCTTTGCCCCTTGAATTGGCCTCCACACGCGTC